GTAGAATGTGCAATACGATTGTTATTGGTAGTAGTAGTAACGGTAGTAGTAGTAGTAGTAGTAGTAGTAGTAGTAGGAGTATACGTGGTAGTACTAGTACTAGTAGTAGTAGTAGTAGTAGTAGCAGTAGTAGTAGTAGTACTGGTGGTGGTAGTGGTGGTGGTAGTACTGGTGAGTGGTAGTAGTAGTAGTAGTACTAATACTAGGAGTAGTAGTAGGAGTAGTAGTAGTAGAGGTCGTAGTAGTAGTAGTAGTAGTAGTAGTATAGTAGTAGTAGTAAGTAGTGGTAGTAGTAGTAGTAGTAGTAGTAGTAAGTAGTAGTAGTAGTGCTGTAGTAGTAGAGTAGTAGTAGTAGTAGCACTCGTACTAGTACTAGTACTAATAGTAGTAGTGGTAGTAGTAGTAGTAGTAGTAGTAAATACTTGTGGTGGTAGTGGTAGTAGTAGTAGTAGTAGTAGTAGTAGTAGTAGTAGTAGTAGTAGTAGCCGTACTCGTAGTAGTAGTAGTAGTAGTAGTAGTAGTAGTAGTAGTAGTAGTAGTAGTAGTCGTAGTCGTAGTCGTAGTAGTAGTAGTAGTAGTAGTAGTAGTAGTAGTAGTAGTAGTAGTAGTAGTAGTAGCAGTCGTAGTAGTAGTGGTAGTAGTAGTAGTAGTAGTAGTAGTCGAAGTAGTAGTAGTAGTAGTAGTAGTAGTAGTAGGGAATTCCGAAGGAGGAATCCACAAGGAATTCCGAAGGAGGAATCCACAAGGAATCCAGAAGGATTCCGAAGGTTTCCTGATGAATTCCAAAGGAAGCCGGAGGAATTCCGAAAGCACCCTAAGGAATTCCGAAGGAATCGTGAGGAATTCCGCAGGATCCCCAAGGAATCCCGAAGGAGTCCTGAAGAATCCGGAGGAATTCTGAAGATCCCATCCGTGGTTTGAATTGGTCTCATTTTTGGCTGAGTTGGAATTGGTCTCATTTGTGGTTGGAATTGGTCTCTTTTCTGGTTGCAATTCGCCCCGAACGGTTGGGATTGGTCCTAGTCGGTTGTAATTCGTACCACTTCGGGTCGCTACCCCCCCCCCCCCCTCCCGGCGGGGGAGGGATCAAAGGGAAGGGGCTTCCCTTCGATTCAATTACGAGGTTGCTCAAGGTCGGCTTGGCTGGAGCCCAGGGGAAGAGGTCTCCCAGGGAAAGGGAAGGACAGAGACGACGAGTACAAAGAATGACGGAGATGACGGCTCGAACGGAAAAGCCCCTCACACACGCCGACAGGGTCGGCGGATTTCCGGGAGTTGGGTTTTCGCTTGCATGTTTTCCCAAAATGCTGCTCTCGCTGAGGCGCGGCCCTCATTTTCGGGCCCCGCTCGTTCCGAATCGTGCTCTCGCTGCAGCGCTGGCCTCATTTCCGTCCGTGCTTCCGCTCGTTCCGAATCGTGCTCCCGCTGCAGCGTTGGCCTCATTTCCGCGCTTCCGCTCGTTTCGACTCGTGCTCCCGCTGCAGCGCTGGCGTCATTTCCCGTGCCATGCCACGGCATGCAATGCAATGCCAGGTTGATACTACGCTTCGCGGTGCTCTTCTACGCCATGCCATGCCGTGCTCTACACTGCATCGCGTACCCTTTCGGGATCATCGCCCTGCTTGACATCCGACTGTGCAAGTAGAGAGGGGATCTGCGCCATGGTAAGGGAAGGGAGGGAGGGTTAGGATGTCAGATATGACGCGAGCGCACCTAGCTTGCCTCCTCCCCCTCCCCCTCCTCCACCTCCTCTTCTTCCACATACTCCTCGTCATCCTCCTCGTCCTCCTGCTCCTGCTCCTCTTCCTCCTCCTCCTCCTCCTCCTCCTCCTCCTCCTCCTCCTCGGGTCGCCTACGGCCCCTGGGGAAACCGTGCTGTCGGAACACAAGAAATATTCATGAATACCTTTTCTGGCCGCCGGGGGCCCTGACAGCTGGGTAACGCAGGACGATGTTCGCTGCAATCTGCTCAGCAGCCGCAGTGGCGATGTCCCGTTGGCGAGGGCGCAGGCCCTCTTCGGGGGATGGCCGGCCGATTCCGCGGGCCCCAGCCTGCCTTGCCCCCGCCGACGATGCCAGGGCCCCCAGCAGGAGATCGACCACAGAACTGATGCGCCCCAGAATTTGGATGGTTTCGCCGAGTCGAGGAAGATGATGCAGCATGCTTTTGGATCTTCCAAAATCATGGAGACTTTTCTCTCGCAGGCTCGACGAGGACAACACGGTCGGGGCAGATCAGTTCTGTAGTCCATCTCCTACTCGAGGTTTGGAGGCACGCGCAAAGGGGGGCAGGGGCAGGGGGGGAAGGCTACGGAGAAACACCCCTGCTCCTTAGAGGGCGCGGGCCTTGTCGACAGGTGGAGCGCTGGCGCCTTTTGCGAAGCAGCCTTCTGCCAGGATGCAGTCACCCCCTGCCTCCACCCCCCTTGTGCGCGCCACCAAGTCTTGGAGGCACGGTGCGCCGTGGCGCAGTGCTGCTGCCGACGCGCAAGCCGTGAGCAGTGATGCGGCGTGCGCACCAGCGCGACACGGCGTGGCGCGGTGCGTCATGCCTCCGCTGCTCGGGAGCGCGGTTCGCCTCACGCCGAGAGGACACCCACCTCTTCGGGCGACGACGCCTGTACACCAACCGTTGCCCCCGGGCAGGACCCTTCCTGGCCCTCATGGCCAAGCCAGGAGGGCCTGGCGTATACACCGCTGCTGGGTCCAGGATGGACCTGGCCCTTGGCATCGCTCGGACGTGTGCGTTTTTCCTTCGGCGAGGACCATCGAGGAGCACCCTTGACCATTCGGCGAAAAAAACACGCACGAAACCGACAAAAAACACAAAAATCCGAGCGATGGCGAGGGCCAGGGAGCAGTGGATTTGTGTAGATCTCGTCGCCCCATCTCTGCCGTGTCTTCTCACGGAGCGTCCCTCTCGGAGGCGATGCCGCCACGCTCGGGCATGTCGCTCCCAGCTGTGCAGTGCTCTGGCGCTGTGTTGCCCTCCGTCTCCCCCCGTCCTTCGCGGCTGCCCTGTCTGTCTTGTCCCTCCCCCCCGGCACGCCGGCCAATTCGCGTATCGGTCGCCCCGATCGGTAACCGCTGGAACAGCTCTTCTGCCTCGCCGCCGGCGAAATAACAAGTGTTCTGGCGTTGGACGGTCACCTCTCCTGCGCAGAAGGCGCCGGGCCTGGTGCCGAGCCCGTAGTTCTGCCGAGCCAAGGCGCGGGGGTGCTGGTCCGAACGGCTCCTCAATCAGAGGAGCAAGATGACGCTTCCCGAGACCTCCAGGTTATCCTGTTGCCACCTGCTTTCAGGGACGACTGGCCGAGCACGAGTGGCGAAGAGCCGCTGGAGACTGTTGGAACTCGTGGAACGTATCCTGAGCCAGTCGCATCATGACCAGGGCTGGACCTAAACGCTGTTTTGCTGGACTTGGCTGTGCTCTGTTTTTCGTTTTGGCAGGGAGGTGCAGGAAAACAGGTAGAGAAACACGACAGACAAGACGAACACAAAACGCAAAACAGCGTTTAGGTCCAGCCCTGTTGGAATTGTGGAATGTATCAAGAGCCAACGCATCATGACATGACCACTCTCGTCTTGCTAAAGGCCCCGCAGCTCCCAACCGAAGCTCTGGAGTGGCATCTCGCGCTTGCATGATGTCCGAACTGTCGGTGCTCCTGTTCCGATGATTGCCCTCTGACCTCGGTGCCACGGATGCTTCTGGCGGAGGTATTGCTTGTCGTGATCGTTTTCTTACTCATGGTTTTGCCGTTCGGCGCGGGCCCCTGCACCCCCCTCCCCCCCCGTGGAGTAGATCTTGGCTGTTTTTGACGCTTGTTTCGAGCGGGTGGAGCCTCCCCCATAGGACGCATTGCTGCAAACAGCCGAACTAAGCAGCGGGCCAGAGGCACACACACCCCCCCTTCCCCCCTTTCCGCCCAGTGTCGAAACGCCGGGTATGAACACGCTCACGTCTTTGCTGCTGTCCCCCCACCTCTCCTCTCTCTGGGCGCCGCGCCCAGGGGGGAGGGAGGGAGGAGGGAGGAGGGAGACGGGAGGAGGGGGAGGAGGGAGGAGGGAGGAGGGAGGAGGGAGATGGGAGGAGGGAGGAGGGAGGGGGAGGAGGGAGGAGGGAGGGAGGAGGGAGGAAGGAGGAGGGAGGGGGGAGGCAGGAGGGAGGAGGGGGGGGAGAGCAGAGAGGGCGGGCCTCATCGGAGAGCTCCGAGGGCCTCCGAAGGCCTCTGTGCGAAGCTCTCTCCGAGCCCCCTCCCGGGGCGCGAGAGAGAGTGCGGAGGTGTCTGCGCGTCGCGCGCCTCGCGGGGAGCGATGCTCGGGCGGGACGAAAGGGGAGGATTGGGAACGGGGGGTTTATCCTCCTCCTCCTCCTCCTCATCCTCCTCCCCGTCCTCCCCCTCCTCCTCCTCCTCCTCCTCCTCCTCCTCCTCCTCCTCCTCCTCCTCCTCCTCCTCCTGGGGAGGGGTTTCCCTTTGACTCGATTGCGACGTGGATCGGTTCATCTCGGGCTGGCGCGTTTGGTTTGGGACCCCCAGGTTCGGGGGTGGACAGAGCCCCCAACAGTGACACGTCGATTAGTGAATTGTCCGTTTTCGGTTCTCGAGAGGGCGCCGTGGCCGTTATGTTCCAGGCTCGCGCCCGCCAGGTTTGGGCCTCAGGTCGTTTTCACGAAACCACGGTTTACTACAGGGGGGTCTGTCCATCCCCGAGGTTACGAACTTTGCTGCATGCAGCTGGTTTCGGCCTCGCCGAGGGGCCCATTCCTCGATACATGGCCGCCTCCTGCGCCGGGAGGCGCCAGGAAAATCAGCCACGTGAGCTGATTCTCACCCCCCCCCCCTTTGCTATCCCCCCCCCCCTTCGCCCGGCCCGAGCGATGCGCGAAGTCGGGTGGCCCAGGTCGTTCGAGCCTCCCAGGGAGTGTGCGCAGGCTGTCCGGAGTTGCGGCCCTGCCCGAGCCCGCCTGGGTCCGTGGGCTCCCCCCCCATTCGACGGAGGCGCCGATGCCTCGGAGGCCTTCGAGTCCAGCGCCTTCGAGGCGCTGGAGAAGGACTTCCAGGTGGTGCTGCAGGAGCGTTGCCGTGCGTCGCGGAGGGAGGCTCTCCGACGGTGCGGGGTCCACTTTCGACCCGATCGAGTCGATGCGATGCGCTGTGGATTGCGGCTGGCCAGGTCCGATTCGATTCCGACATTCCGACGATGCGATGCTGCCCGATGTTTGCGTGACAATGTTGTGCATCCTGGCGCGGCCGATCCGATTCGATTCCGACACTCCGTGCCGACGCAGTCCGATCCTCTGCACATTTTGCTTCGACCCCATTTCTCGATTCGATGTTGACCTTGGCATCGCTCGGACGTGTGCGTTTTTCCTTCGGCGAGGACCATCGAGGAGCATCCTTGACCGTTTGGCGAAAAAAACACGCACGAAAGCGAAACAAACACAACAAATGGACGTCCGAGCGATGGCGAGTGACTGATCCTGCAGTGGTTATCGCTTCTTGCAGCCCGCACTCTGGATAGCGGCCCAGGGCCAGGCTGTGTGCATCGGCTGCTTTGTGCCTGTTGGTGTCGAGTTTGAGTGTTCCAGGCGTGCCGCATTCCGGGACAAAGAAGTAGCGATGGGAGTCACAGTTTGTGGGATCAGAAGGTGGGAAGTGTAGGAGGACATGTTCGAAGCCAAAGGAAATCAAACGGAGGTGCAGTCGACAGTTATCAAACAAATTGTTGATGCGCCGAGGTTGTCATGCTATGCTATGGTTCCCGAGTGGTGTTACGAAGTATGTCGTATGTGATTTTCGATTCGATTGTTAGTGGCAAGTTTGACAGGGTGACGGCGCACCACATTGTGTTGTGACCCTTTCGAGAACCGCTCCGGCACGTTACGGATCTCACCCCAGAGCTCAAGAGGGCCACAGCGACAGGTGGTCTGTTCTCGTGCCAGCTCGACAAGGCTGTTGCACAGTTGTGTTTTCCTCGGGGCCCAGACAGCCCTCACATGTGTCACGCGTCTTCCCCTCCCCATTCCAAGGTCCCCCTCGTCTCGCCACAGGGCAGTCGTCGCGCAAGTCAAACAAGTGCCATTATTTGTCCCACGATTGCATCGCCGCGTCTTTGAACAGCTCGCTTCCGAGGGGCGAGGGACCCGTATCTTTTCCGTCGCAGCGCGGCAGGGGCAATCCGCATGGGCGTTCGCAGTAGTCGGGGGCGCTGGCTAACCAATTGTCTGGGGGCGCGAGAGGAGGCGCGGGAAGACATGTCGGTCGCGAAGAGCGCCCACGGGTGAAAGATTTCCATGGTGAGCGCGCCAGTGCGGCCAACCAGGTCTGCGGTGCCAAGGCATGGACGCGCGGCGGCGTCGCGGGCTGCTGGCGGTGAGTGAATGAGGAGAAAAGTGATGCCAGCACGCCGGTACGAAAGCCTCAGGATGCTGACGGGGGACGAATGCAAGTCCGCCACATTGCGCCGAAGCGCGTGGGCTGCATCAACATGCTGTCCCGACGCCTTGACAAGCTGCCGGGGACGAGCGGTGCATCCGGCTCATCGTTACATGGCCGAGCTGCGTCAGGTTTTGTGGCGCTAGGCCGTCGCTTGGTGTATGCGAGGTCAGGACCGGGTCACAGCCGCACCGCGCGATGTCCGCGCGGGGGGGGGGGTGCGCCGAAGCGGGCGCGGAAGGGGAGGGCAATCAGGCGCGCGGAGGAAACGCGGGAGAAAGTGCGCCCCGCCCGACATGGCGCACGCATTCTAGCCGGGCAGGAGCGGGCAAAAGATCCCCGGCCGCGGGGGCGGCTGGTTGGGCGGCGCGGCAAGGCACGCGGAGGGGCGTCGGGGCGAGGGGGCAGCCCTGCGCGCCTCCTGTGGAGGGGAAGCGCGCGGGGCCACGGGGGGCGCCGGAGCAAGAGGGCGCCAGCGCTGGGGAGCGGGCAGGGCAGCCCGCGGCCAGAAGTGCGCCCACGTGGACCAAGGAGCGCGCCGCCCTGGAGGGCAGTCGCGCAAGCCAGGGCGCCAGAATGGTGCCAGCACTGGTGGGCGCCGACCAGGGAGTGGGTCGCCTTGGCGGGCAGCCAACGCACCCACTGGACGAAATCATTCACCCAGTCACGCCCACAGAAGCGCGCCCCCCCCTTGGACGGGGGCCGCATCCATCAGGCAACTGGGCGGCGCAAACATTGTAGGCGGGCGCCCATGCCAGGGAACGCCACGGCGTCGGACGGCAGGCGCACGTGCCAGGGCGCCAGAAAAGGCTCAGAAAGGGGCGACGGCCGCGCGTTCCTCGGCGGGAGGCCACGCGGCCCCAGGGGGCTGGAGCCGCGTCGGGTGCCCACTCCTGGGAGGGAAGTCGCGCGAACCGGGCGGCTCGCCACGCCAGGGGAACGTAGCTCAGCATGCCAGCAGCACAATGAAGGGGATCGCCTGGCGGCGCGCGCGCGGGGCCGCGAATCGGATCCCTGGAGGCGCGGCGAAGAACATCAGGCTGGGTCTGCAGGAGTGTCGGTCAGGCTGGGCTCTCAATCTCATGCAAGGAGGGCCGAGTGCGGCTGCGCCGCCGGGGCTGCGCGCCGTCGACCAGCGTGCTTTGGGCCCAGGCAGCGCAGCGGTCAAGGTCGAGCAGCGCGTCGTCGTCGCGGGCGCCGCTCGCGTCGCAGGTCGCCGCCGCCGCCGCCAGCTGGGGGGCGCCCGAAGCGGGGGGGGCGAGTGAACGCTTCTCCGGCCCAGGGGCGCCGCCGGTCGCCCCCGCGCGCCAGGGCCTTCCCAGGGGCCCGCTGGTTTCTGGCGCTGCCGGGGGCGCCACTGATGGAGGCGATCGCGCGAGGCGCGGCGCGATCCCTCGGCGGGGGCGGCGAGTGGGCAGGGCGGGGGGGGTCGGTGGAACTGCAACCATTTAACGAGCTCTGGTTTCTGGGGCCGCCATCGACGCAGACTGCGCCGGCGCCGGGCAGGGCGAGCCCGGCGCTCTCGGGCAGCCCTTGTCGGCGCGCGTCGGCGCGAGGGCCTGCTGAGGCCCCCGACACTCTCGGGGAATGCTGCAGCCGCGCCCCCACTTCGGCCGAGGCGCCTCCTGGGCGAGCGAGCGCTGGGCCAGCGAGATGCTCGAACTGCGCGTGGCTCGCGAGCAGCGCTGGCGACGAGCTCGCGGCGCGGGTCATCTCCGAATTGCCGCCGCCCGCGCGCTCAGAATGCATGCCCACCTTCGGGGGGGCCCCGGTCTCAGCCCAACGCTTGTCTTCAGGGTCGAGCGACGCGCCCCCTTCCGGGGCGATGGGCATTGCCCTCGCGCCAATGAGGCAATGCGCGGCGCCCGACAACGGCGTTGGACGGGAGACGCCGTCTTCCAGAGCTGCTAGAGCCGGACGCATGCCCACTTATCATATTGTCGCGGTCTGCGCCGAAAGGTTTGCTGGCGTCGCCCCAGCGCGCGCGACATCCAGCGACGCATGCGAGGAGGGCGCGCCTTCCAGGAGTTCGAGAGTGGCGCCGGCGGGGCGCGCCGCATTCGCGGGGTCCACGAGCTGCGTGGACGGCGAGCCAGCGACGCAGACCGTTTCGGAATTGCCCCCGCCCGAGAGATACAATGCCCGCTGCCATTGCCACCGCCGTTGCCGCCCCCCCCGCCCCTTCGCCCGCGCCGCCGGCGCCGCGTCCATCGACGCTGCCGGGCGCCGTGATTCAGGGCGTCCGCGGGCTCCAGCACCCCCGCCCGCAGCTCGCTGAGCAGCGGCGGGGCTGGTGGCCGCCGTCGCGGTTCGCGCTTTGCGCGCGCTCTGATCAGGGCGCCGCCGCCCGCGATGGCGGGCGCCAGCACCGAACGCGCGTCGCTGAGCAGCGACGGGGCCGCCGTTGACTGCCGCCCCTCTCGCGCGCGCCGAGCTGGGAACTGTAGCTCGCGATGGCGGACTCCAGCTTCGCCGGCGAAAAGACTCGCGAGAGCCAGAAAGTCCGGAATATCATGCGGGTTCTGTGCGAATCCGCCATGCTGCTCGCGGTCGCGCTGCTGGAGTCCTTGGCGTCGCGCGCGATGGCGCTGCGGGGGTCTGGCGCGCTGCTCGCGGACGTGCTGCAGGAGTCTGTCGTGCTGCTCGCGATGGCGCTGGCGGGGTCCGTGGCGCTGCTCGCGCCCGCGCTGCGGGGGGCCGGTGTGCTGCTCGCGGCCCTTTTGCTGGGGTCTGTCATTTTCCTCGCGGTCGCGTTGCTGACGTCCTTCGCGCTGTTCGCAGCGGCGCTGCTGGTGGCCTTCGCTCTGCTCGCGGTCGTGTCGCGATGGTCTTGCCTGGGCCATGCAGACCGCGGTCGCGCTGCCCGGGTCTGCCGCGCTGCTCGGCGCGCCGTTCGCGGTCGTGCTGCTGGAGTGTTCCGCGTAGCGCGCAGCGCTGCCATTGGAATCCGCCGCGTAGCTCTCAGTCGCGGTGCCGCAGTTCGTCGGGCCGCGCGCGGCTTGCTACTGGGACCAGTCAAGTGGCTCACAATTGCTGTAGTTCGCCATGGTGCTCGCCGCCGAACTGCTGGAGTCCGTCCGTCGGGCTGCTCGTGACGGCGTTGCTGGAGTCCGTCACGGTGCCCGCGGCCGTGCTGCTGGAAAACGTAGCGACGCTCGCGGGCGCGCTGCTTGAGTTAGGTTTGGCAATGGCATCGCAGGAGGCCCATTGAGGAAAGCAGCCGGAATCTTCGGCAAATCTCCAGCCGGAAGTTCAACCTCCCCAACATATGCGAGCATAACTGCAAGCCACCACTTGCGAAATTCTCAAACCAAACAAAACTTTAGAACATCTGCAAGCCAAAACCCGGGGAAATCCCAACCCGAAAAAAAACTTGAAATTGAAACTCCAGAAGAATTTGAAGCACAGAGATGTAAAAACATATGTTTGACGCTTGGGCGGTCGGACTATCCCTAGAGTTTGTATCTGCAGTTTTCACGAGGTTTCTAGGCCGCCCGGGATTGCATGTATAGTTTGTTTTTTGAGTTGCCCCATTTGTTTGTTTTGGCTTTCGGCCGGTGGTCAGAAATTAGTTTTGATGTTGCAACGTTTGTTTCAGCGTGTTTGCATTTTGTTTTTTCGAGTTTTCAGGCACCCGGAGCTTTCGTTTGAGATTCCCGCTGGTGTGGGTTCAGAGCTTGCTGTAAGTTTCTTGTTCAAGAGTTGGATATGTTCGCATGTTCTGACTTAGAGATGCGTGTTGGAGTTTATTTTCTAGAGTTTGAGATTGTTTGCAGGTTTTGGTTTAGAGATTTCTAAGTTTTGTTTAGATTTTGAAGTTTTCGCAGGCGTTGGCTCAGAGATTGTTTGAAGTTCTTGTACAGTTTGAACATATTCGCACGATATGGCGGTGGACCGCCTGTACTCGCTACTGCCATCCTGATGCCTGAGCCTGTCGCCTTGCTCTCTGGAGTCCTGCTGTCTGCGATGCCCGCGACGTTGCTGCTGGAGTCGCGACGCCCGCGGCGTTGTTGCTGGGGTTCGCCGTGTTGTTCCCCGTCGCCATCCATCCTGGAATTCGTGGCGCCTCTCGCGATGGCGCTGCTGGAGTCCGTGACTGCTGCTCGCAATCGCGCTGTCGGGGCATGTCGCGCTGCGCGCGATGGAACTGCCTGATCCCCCGATGTTGTTTGGGTATGATTTGTTTGGTGCTCTCCTTCTTCCCGTCGTGCCGCGCTGCCCGCGAGGGCGTTGCTGGGGCCCGCCGCGCTGCTCGCGATGGCGCCGATGAGCCTGTCGTCTTGTCTGGGGTTTGGCAATTTTGCTGCAAGGGGCCCATCGAGAAAACCGCCCGCAATCTTCGGCAAATCTCCCGCAAAAAATTCAACCTCCCAGAAAACTTCACAAAATTCGAAGCCAACATGTTCGAACATCTCCGCATTCCAAACAATTTCACAACACCTCGAAGCCAACACCTGGGAACATATCAACCCGAAGAAAGCTGGAAACCGAAATTCCCAAAACACTTGAAGCAGCGGGATTGAGCACATACGCGTGGTGCTTGGGCGGCAAGTTTGTTTTTAGAGTTTGTCTCAGCTTTGTTTCATGTGCCCCAGGCCGCCAGGGATTGAAGTTATGTTTTGAATGTTTAAATATAAAGGTTGCCCCATAATTTCTGTTCCATGAGTTCGCCACGGTCAAACATTCGTTTTAGAGTTCTCTAGCTATCATATATATATATATACAATATGTATATATATATATACATATATATACATATGTTGTATGTATAAGTATATGTACATGGTGGTACTGTATACATACATATATGCGCAGATTGTGATGAACCTTTTCGTGAAACGAACCATATGTATATATATATATACATATGCATTCTAGTGTGCAAGTGTTTCGTGGCGCTTATATGTTCTCAATATGGCTTAGAGTTGTTCAGGCCTTTCGAATTTTATTCATGCGGTTGTTTGTGACATGTTTAAGTACTTGTTTTAGAGTTCCGGATTCAGTTTTGCGCGTGCGTGCGCGTTTGTGCGTGTGTGTGTGCGTGTGTGGTAATTTTGAAAGTTCCGAAGGTTTCGATTTAGAGTTGTTTTGAAGCGTGCTTTAAAGAGTATGATATGTTCGCGGTTTGGTTTTTGTTGTACCATTATTCTTCTGCAGTTGTTGTAGGGTTTGAGATTTTCGCAGGTTCTGGCTTGCATATTCTTCTGAGTTTCTTTCGCGTCTGAGATGTTCGCAGGTTTGGAAGTTTATCGAGAGTTTGAGATGTTCGCCAGGCTTTGGCTTATATATTGTTTAACAGTTGTTTTAAGAGTTGAGTTTCTTTGCGCGATGTGGCGGTGGACCGCCTGTCCTCGCTATATGTCTTGCCCTTCGCACTGCGCGTCATGGTGCTGATGGGGTCCGCCGTGCTGGTTGTGGTCGCGCAGGTGGAGTCCGTCGCGCCGGTTGCGATGGCGCTGCCGGGTTCCGCCGCGCTGCTCTCGGCGCGGCTGCTGGAGCCAGTCGTGCTGCTCGCGAGGGTGCAGCTGGAGCTTGCCGTCGTGACCCCGGTCGCGCTGCTGGAGTCTGCTGCGCTGCTCGCGACGGTGCTCGCTGAAGTCCGTCATGCCCGTCGCGGTCGTGGAATACGTTGCGCTGCTCGCGATGGCGCTGCAGGTGCCCGCCGGCCAGCACGCGGTTGCGTTGCTAAAGTCGGTAGCGTTTCTCGCGATGGCGCTGCTGGGGTACGTCCTGCTGCTCGCGTTCTTGCTGCGGAGTCTCACTCCGGTGCTCTCGATGGCGCTTCTTGCGCCGTCGAGCTGCGCACGATGGCGCTGCTGGGGTCCGTCGCGCGGCTCGCGGTGATGCTGGCGGGGTCCGACGCGCTGCTTGCGGTCGCGCTGCTGGGGGCCCCCTATAGCGCTGCTTGCGATGGCGCTGCCGGGGGTCGTCGCGCCGCGCGCGGTCGGCGCTGCTGGAGTCCGTCGCGTTGCTCGCGAGGGTGCCGCTGGAGTCCGCCGTCATGCCGTTCCTGGTCGCGCTGCTGGGGCCCGCCGCGCTGCTCGCGATGGCGAGGCCAGACGCCGCCAGGCTTCTCGCGGTCTCGCTGCTGGGCGGCGTCGCTCGGCTCGCGATGGCGCTGCTCGAGTGCGTCGCGTGGCCCCCAAACGCGCTCCTGGTTTCCGCCGTTCTGGTCGCGAGGGTTTTGCGTGAGTCCGTCGTGCTGGTCTCGGTCGAGCTGCCAAAGTATGACGCACTGCTCGCGATGGTGCTGCTGGGCCCGTCGTGCTTCTCACGCTGGTGCTGCTGGAGTCAGCCATTCTGCGCGCGGCTGCGCTGCTGGAGTTTGCAGCGCGGCTCACGATTGTGCTGTTGGAGTGTGTAACGTTGCTCGCGGTCTTGCTGCTGGAGTCCGTCGCGTTGCTCGCGATGGCGCTGCTAAGTCATGCTGCTAACGATCTTGCTACTAGAGTTCGTCATGATGTCGTCGATAATGTTGTTGGGGTCCGGCATCCTGTTCACAGGCGTTTTGATAGAATCCGCCTCAGTGAGCCTCAGTGAGCGCGATGGAGCTGCTGGAGTCCGTCATACTGCTCGCGGTTGCGCTGCTGGAGTCCATCGTGCCAGTCACGTCTGCGTTGTTGAAGCTCCTTCTGCCGATCACGATCGTGCTGCTGGAGTTCGTCGCTTTCCTCGCGATGGTTCTGCTGGAAGCCGGCATGCTGCTTGAACGATGGTGCTGCTGCAGTCCGTCGTGCTGCTAACGAGGGTTTCGCTAGGGTCAGTCATGCTGCTCGCGATTGTGCTGCTGGAGTCTGTCGCGCTGCTCGCGGTCTCGCTGCTGGGGTCCGTCGTGCTGCTCGCGCCCGTGCTGCTGCAATCCGCCGTGCTGTTATTTGATGATGCTCCTGGTGTCCGCCGCACTGCTCGCGGTGGTGCCGGTGGTTTCCGTCATGAGTCATGTTGTTCGCTGCCATGTTGCCGCCGTCATGTTGCTCGCCGTCGTGCTACTGGAGTCCATCGGGCTGCTCGCGACGGTGCTGCCTGAGTCCGTCATGCGGCTCTCGGTCGCGATGCTGGCGTTCGTCGCGGCGTCCACGATGGTGCTGCTGGAGCCCGACATGCTGCTCGCGGTCGTGCTGCCGCAGCGTGTCGCGATGCTCGCGATGGCGTCGACGGAGCCCGTCGTGCTGCTGGCGGTCGCGTTGCCAGAGGCCGCCGTGCTGCTCGCGGCTTTGCTGCTGGAGTCCGTCATGCTGCCCGCAGTCGTGCTGCTGCCGTCCGTCGTGCTGCTCACGATGGTGTTGCTGGGGCCCGCCATGCGGCTCGCGGTTGCGCTGCTGGGGTCCGTCGCGCTGCTCGCGGCGGTGCTGCTGCAGCCGTCGTGCTGCTCGCCAGCCAGGTCCTCATCGCCGAGGTCGCTCCGCGCGGCGACAGCGCCGCCGGCTGTCGCGAGGCCGGGCGGGGGGCCCAGAGGAGCTGCCGCGCGGGCGGGGGGCCCGGCCGCCCAGGCGAGGGCGGCCACCGCGCCGGCCAGAGCCCCGCGGAGGGCGCAGCAGAGGCGGCGTCGGCAGCAGCGCCAGCTGCACGCGCGGCGCTGCCGCGCGTTGCCAACAACCGCGCTGTCCTCGGCGCGCGAGGCGCTGGCGGGGCCCTCGGCGCCAGTGGCGGGCACGGCGCCAGCGGCGGGCACGGCGCTGGCGGCGATCGCGGCGCCCCCGGCGCCCAGCGGCGCCAACGACGCGCGGGGGGCTGCGCGGCGCCTGCGGCGTCAGCGGCGCCATGGGCGCCCGCGGCGCCCGCAGCGCCCGCGGCGCATGCGGCGCCGACGTCGCCTGCAGCAGCCGCGGCGCCCTGTAGGAGCTGGCTGCAGCCGCGGCGCCCGCGGCGCGCGCGCGCGTCGCTCTTGGCGGCGACGCGCCGCGGCGGTCTCCATCGTCCGCGGAGGCAGCCCGGCGGGCGGGCGGCCGCCCTCCCCGGGCGCAGCAAGCCTTGTAAGGACTGTCCCTTGAATATAGTTAAATAGCTAGAAGTTGGGGAAATCAGGTAGCCAAAATGGCTGCCCAAATCAAGTTCTATGTAGCCGTAGCTACGACGTGGCGAAGCTCGAGACTCCAGTGGTAAGTGATTACACCAGAAAGAACTACTACAAGGGGGGGGGGGAGCACGTGTTGTTTGACCCAGCGCGTTTGTTGTCACCCGATATTGTTTAGGATGTTTCATGTTTTCCCATCGATGGCCCCCTTATGACCACGCAAAAGCCCTACCGATGTGAAGGGGGCAGAGGGGGAGGAGGGAGGAAAAGCGTTACCCACGCGCCACCCTCCTGGGGGAGGCGGACTGGCGAGGAGGATGTTTCGGCTGTTTGTCAGGGGCGGAACCGCGGTCGCGATGTCCAGTTCTGCCTTTGGGGGCGATACGGATGTTAGGACGGTCTGGCATTCCTGAGCAGCTGAGCGCAGTTGCTAGCTCAGATGCTATGTTTCCTCATTTTTTGATGTGGCCAATGAGTCTTGTATCCTCGTAAGTGCGATGGCCTTTGCTGTGCAAGAGTCTCATTTTTTGCTACATGTTTTCGCCCGCCTCTGCCACTCGTCACCCACCATCTGTTACATACGTACTTCGAGTTCTCAGAGACTAGGGCGCGACGAGAGGAGGAGATGAGGAAACGAAACACGACGAGAGGAGAGAACCAAGAGGCAGGATATCATGAGGAGGGAGGAGGAGGAGGGAGAGGGACAACAAATAATGACAAGGGAAGCTATGCTATGCTTTGCTCAGCTCACCATGTCAAATTACGCACAACACTTCGCATTGAATCGTGGCGGGGGTTCCGACGCTTTTGTCAATCTCCCAATACCTCCCCATCCTCTTCCATTTTCCTTCTCTCCCGTCCTTCTTACCCCTTCCGTCCTCCCTTCTGGTTTCGCCTCCTCCCCCTCCTCTCCCCTACCGCCCCCCTCCTCAGACGCGACTGGTTGTCGGGTCGCGATGCGCCATAGCAAGGGCATTCCTCGATCCGCTCAGCGGTGTGACAGAGGTGCAACGGCGCGCCCGTTCGTCCTAAATACAGTCCTGATATTACTTCAACAAGTTAATTTCCAGCCAGCCCAAATAGTTTCAGCTGCCACCCGAATCCAATACACCCCGAAACAAAAACACATAATGCAAAACCCCTTTGGGGTCCCCAAGACCTCCCAGCAAGCGTTAACATAAAACGATGGTGGTTGGCAAAACGAACGAAACCGACAGAGCGGTCAGTAGCCATTTTGGCTAGAGGCATGAGGTTTCTCTTGGCGCTCTTGGCGCTCGCCCCGCCAGCATGCGGATGCATGTTCGGTGACTTGCTCGCCGATGGCGTCGGAGCGCCGCCCGCGGGGCCCGCAGCGCCCGCCGCGGCCCCGCCACCAGCGGGCCCAGCAGCAGCAGCAGCAGCAGCACCTCGGCCACCTGCGCGAGGGCGCGGACGAGCCAGGGGGCGAGGAGGAGCCAGAGGACGAGGACGGTCGCGAGGCTATGCGCATGACGCGGCCGCACGTGCAAAGATCAGTGCTGCAATGTCTCGGAGATCGGCGTCGCGGGCGACTCAGGCGATGACCAGAAGTGCGCGCCTGCAGTCAGAGAGTATCGTTGATATGATGCGTGGCAGTGGTTCCAAACAGTTTGCCAAGTCAAGTGTCAAGCAAGTTGTGAATCGGGATGGAAGTGTGACCACGACGGCCGTGAACCAGTCCAGCAGTTACCAAGCCGATCGGGACAGATATATCGTGAGCCACGCACGTGCACAAGCTAGAGGCCTTTCGGAGTTTTGTCAAGCTGGGAACAACTACATGCTACAGTTCAGCACTGTATTCGACGACGCGTCAATGTGGGTTGGCCGCCCTCCACAGTCAGATTACGATCAGCTCGTGCGTGACCTTGCGGGACCACTCCAGAAAAAAATGAGGAAGAGCGAGAAGGGTGGCAACATGGCCCACACTCCAGTTCTAAATATCTGCGAGTCGGTTTTCAAGATGTGGAATACAGATAATGGACAATCCACATGTGCCGCCGCAGCGCTGTTCAGCCCCGCCCAGCCGATGGCACAGGCAAATTACTCGACAGTGCTGGACAGGCTGCGGAGATGGTCCTTCTGCAACGATTCGATTTCCCCTGGTGTGTCGTTGGATCCCGACCGTGTCATCACCAACGCAGGGGTCATGAGCACAGCGACTTGGAAAAACTTGAGCTTGGTGAGGGACCGCTTGATGCTGAACTCGAACATTGTCGCCAAGTGCGAAGGGGCCTTCGAAGCTCGTCGAGCTGAGCATCGCTGCGCTGGTCACCCCGACCTCGCCGACGGCGTGCCTACGGTGTTCTCCCTCAACTGCGCTGGCCACATGTGCGTGCTGGGGCTGAAACCGATCATGAGCTTCTTCCCTGGCCTCTCGTCTTTCGTTGTGCGATGCGGACACATGTCTCAGTCTTCGAGGTCGTGCGAAGTATAGCCAAAGGGCCCCGCCCCTTCCCTTCCCCTATGTAATCACAGGAGCCGCCAGCGCAGCACGTGGTACCCCTACCAGACAGACGAGACCTCCCCCCTCTTCTGAATGCGCCCCCATGTGGAGAGGGAGGGGTGGGTAGGGGCAGGGGGGAAGGGTGGGTCCTCTGGCTATACCTCCCAAGGGCAGCAGCTCGTTACGAAGCGGCCCTCGACCAGGAGGTCGACGCGTTCTTCAGTTATCGCCCCGTGGTTGCCCTTCCTGCCAACTTCGACCAATGGAGATCGCATGCACGGCATGTGCTTGATCGCACTGGGCAGGGTATCACGCAGGAGGCGAAGGACCAGATCTTGAAGTACGACAACAGCGACTGGACCTACAGAGGAGACGGCTCCAAGGATATCATACATTTTTGCCCCATCGACTGCGATTGCGGACGGACACGGCAAGGTGCGCTTTCCAAGATGAAGGCCGTGATCAAGATTAGCATTGGAGCCAATTGCCCACTTGCTTTAGAGTACCGATGGAAGCACATGGAGAAGGCGAATGCTTGGTGTTATCGAGGCCGATGCCAACACGATCTTATGAGACGGGCGTTCTGCAGGGCCTACCCGCAGAAGGCCATCCTGGCGCGAGGCAGACAGTCAAAGCGGGCATGATCATTGATTACATGACGAAGGACCCGCTCGGCCTTAGCCATCGGAAAGTCCTCACGCTGCAAGGCCCCATGCAAGTGTTCCTTGATTACGTGTTCAAGTGCGAGGCGGTCACCACCAAGTTCACAAATCAGGCGTGTGCTGTTCCTGGGGCCTCTGCGGCTATCGATGGTTCAATTCTGTCGTCAGTGCATGCGGCGCTCATGGAGTCTTGTCGATACAACTTGGCAGTTTTGTCGGGCTCCAGGGGGCGCAAAGTCATCATCAGCCAAGCTGCTGCCGTCAGGGACTTCGGCCACGCCATGTGGGACGACATCAGGCGCTCTTGTACGAGGCAAGGCTTGTTCGAGTTATGCTTACTCCTGCTTCGTAGCATGGGGGTGGCGTGGCGCCGTCTCGTGCACTACTTTGGGCAGCCTAAGTTCCAACTTCTTCAGGTATGCGGAGACCTCGTGACCGACTTGGAGATCGACAGGATCGTGGCGCCTCTTCGCGAGAAGAAGGCTCGTTGCGAGAAATGCCTTGATCCCTTTACTGATGTGTGGTTGAGTCGGCTATGCGACGAGGAGTGCCGACTGAAGGCGCAAGAGGCCCTGCGTCTTCAGATCGCCTCCACGCCCGTGTCCAGCGTCGCCGTCGAGAAGAAGCACCTGCTCGGCCAGGAGATCCGCAAGCCCAAGAGTAGGGGCAGAGCAGTTCAGGGTGCACAGCTCGTCAGGCAGACGCACCACAAGCTCACCATGAAGGTAAACGCCCAGAAGACCAGCGACATCCAGAACAGAGTTTTGAAGACCGCTGCGGCTCGGAGATCGTTTGGTAGACTTGCGAGCTCGTTGTCATTATCTCGGAGGGGCGTCACCGATAGAGCGAAGGAAGCAAAACGATACATGCGTCAACCCAGGGCTGGTCTTACGAGGATGTCTGCGTGGTCTCTGTACAAGCACATCAATTGGACACGGGGCGTGAAGCCCTTCGGAGCCGCAGGAGCTGCTGAGCAGCAACGTTTGTCCCGTGACTTCAAGAACATCACGCCGGCCACCAGGGCGCACTACGACGCCATGGCGGCACGCGGCACCACTGACAGGGAGAGGCTTCTGGGTGAACTGCAGACTGGAGATGCCATGAGACAGATAGCCGAAAGCGAAGGAGGTCGAGCCGCTCAGGACGCCCTTCGCACTCGACAGTTTCAACTTGCTCTTGATCGTATTCGGGGCGATCCTTGTTGGGAGGGAGGTGCCAAGCTCGACCTCCCTTGGCAAAGCTTGCGGCCCGCATTGGTTGACACGTCCTCGTCGAGAGCATCCATTGCGAGTGCTGCTTCAGATATTTTCTTTCATGGCAGCGACGTCGTCCCCAACCCTCCAGGCACTGCCAAACCACACGATCCGTGCTTCATCCGCCATGGAGGGCTTTGCGAGACAGTGGACGACACGCCTACCATCAGAACATTGGTTGAGAATTTCCACGCCCACTTGGTGCGACGACCGCTACCAGCATTGATTCAGGTCGGGGGCCCCAAGGGCGAGTGTGCGGAGACGCACTTAGTCGTCGACAGGTTCGGCAAGGGTGAGTTGCAGGTACTTTTCAAGTTTTCAGAGCTCTCGCCGAACACCTTCGAGATGGAGGGGTCTGCCGTAGGTGTGCCACTCATCGTTTCAACTGCTCACTTGGCATTCCGACGAGTGTTGGAAAGCACTGCTCGGTTGCTTGAGTGCGCGAACTTCGCGGCCGTAGGGGGGCTGCACATTTTATTTTACGAGCTCGCCGATGCTGGCGCAGCTGTTTCGCCGGGATTCTGCATTCGGCCAGCGAGGTCGGACGAAGTGTTCCTTGATGCAACTGCCAAGCAGAAACTGTTTAAGGAACCGCCCCCCTCGGCCGCTGAACAACTTCCGTTCGGATTAGGTACTTACGAATTTCATTGCAAGCCTGCAGCTGGCCCGCAGATGCCAGCTGATGCCGCTGACAATGAGGGGTCTGAGGACGAAATTGCCCATGAGACGGTAGACATAGACCCAGAGAGTTGCAGCGACGCGGAGGAGGAGCCGCCAGGGCCAGCCCTCCCTCCAAAGCCAAAGCCTAAGCCAAAGCCTGAGCCAGGTTTAGTTGCGATGGCGCCTGAGATAGGTAGCCAGACCAAGGCTGGCATTTCAGATTTTGAACTGGCCCGCGGAGGCGGGGCTCAGTGCTTCGTTTGCAATGGCAAGGTCCCGAAGGGACAGTGGCGCTTTCGATACCAGGTCGTTCCATCAACGTCTCTTCGCCGCAACCGAGTCGTGCACTACGCATGCGTAGACCGCCTCCCAGCAGCCACCAGGGGGACGGACTACAACGCAGTTCATTTTTTTTTTGGCCGCCCAGATCTCCCTGGCGAGGCCATCGAGGCCCTTGACGCAGCGTCGGCCTTGTTGAGGCCTGACGACCCAGGCGCATCAGCATCTGGTAAATAGCTGGCAGGAACAATCGATCCTGGGCCACGCGTAAGATCATGTCGCCACTGGCATCGTCGTCGCGACCCCCTGCGAATGTCGTCGACAGTCCGTCGACTGCGGGGGAGTCGCGACGACAGTGCCAGCGCCGACGTCATCTTACACCTCCTCCTTCGTCATTCCTGTCATTCCACCTCCTCCTCCCACTATGTTATCCCACATCCGTCTTATCATTTTCATCGCTCTCATCGTCTTTGTCCTTGGTCTGCGGCGGCGGCCCATCCGTCCTTGTGCGGCCACCGGAGCCGAGACATCGGCCAGCGTCCGCAGCCCCGTCCAGCGACCAGGGAAGGCCTGGGCTCATAGGCCTCGACAGCGTCTTCACCAGGCCGCCGCGCCCAGCTACTCTCTGCTGTTTTGGGGGAGGGGAGAGGGGTCTGCACTCTTGGCTTTCCTCCTCCTCCTCCTCCTCCTCCTCCTCCCCTCCCCCTTGCTACTGCTCTTCCTCCTGCACCTGCTCTTGCTGCTCCTCGTCCTCCTACTCCTACTCCTCCTCCTCCTCCTCTTCCTCCTCCCCCTCCTCCTCCTCCCCCTCCTTCTCCTCCTCCTCCTCCTCCTCCTCCTCCTCCTCCCAGGCCGCCGCGACAACTAGAACTCAAGAAACTAGTTAGACTTAACAATGCTAGCGATGGCTACCTAGATGTAGCTACCGCGCTAAGTAGCTCGAAACTTCGAGCTTAAATCCCAACGAGTTGGGGCTACCGCTGCCGCTAGGCACGGCGAAGGGACCCCAAGGAGTGGGCCGACGGCTGCGGCCCCCATTGGGCATAGGCGAGTGCACGGCGCACCCAATGCGCGCGAGGTAGTTAGACAGTAGCGCGCGCACGCGCACACGCAAAGGCGCAAGAAACACCAACGCGCATATCTCAATATCATGGCAGCAGCGCCCGCCGATCCGATTGGACATCCAACCGATACTCGGACGCGCCATTCTCACTTCGAGACATCCCCACCGCTTCCGCGCCACCATGCGGCGCCGAATTCCGCAGGGGGGGGGCAAGCGCCGCCGCCGTCCATCAGCGCGGGCTTGAGCCCCGCGGCGCGGCCGATCGCTTGTCGCGGCCACCCCATCAGCCCATCGCCTTGGGAAAACGATTATAGCGCATGCTGGCGTGCCGCCGCGGCGCCACTTTACCCCGCGCGCCGACGGGGGCGGGCGCGAGGCCGCGGGGGGCGGGGGGGGGTGGGGGGAGGGGAAGGCCGTCTTTTCACCAACTCATGGGGACCCTCCGTTCGGGGGGGAAAGTTCATGGCAGCCGCTGTGGCTCCCAAAAGTGCCGAAATCGCACCGATCAGGTGGTATTTTCTGCCGTTTCGGCAGCCAAATGGGCTGCCAGACCGCGTGCCCGAAAAGTTGCTCCAGATGCATCCCCGCGGCCGCCCCCCTCCCCCCGCCGCCCCCCCGCAACCAACCCGCCCCGCCCACTCACCACGCAGCGCACCTCCGCCACCACAGCCTTGCCCAGCGCCACGCTACGCACGCGCGCCCACCGCGCCCTTGTGCGCGGCGAGCGCAACTCCAGCGCCCCGCGAACGCTTGTGCCATCGGCTCGCGAACGGCCAATCTCGAGGGGCGCCAACCCCCCGACACCCGCGGCCCGCGACCATTTAGCTCGCAACCCAATCTCCAATCTCCCACGGTCGCCGAACCTTTCCTACATCCATAGCGCGCGTGCGCATGTTGCCGACCGCGTGACCATGACCACATGCACCAGCCTTGCAGGTCATCCGTTGGGGCCCCACTTCGGACTTCGGACTGCGATCAGGCCGCGCATGGAATGCATAGCGCGGTGGTTTCGTGATTTACAACGTTTCGTGGCAAACCGAGAGGGTGAGTAACTTCATCATATCATTCAACCAAGGCGTTACCAAACCTGAATAAACCTGAATGAAACCTGAATGGCCTGAATGAACCTGAATGGACCTGAATGAACCTGAATGGTCTGAATAAACCTGAACGAAACCTGAATGGAACCTGAATGGTCTGAATAAACCTGAATGGGACCTGAATGGCACCTGAATGGTCTGAATAAACCTGAATCAGGCCTGAATAAACCTGAATCACACCTGAATCACGCCTGAATAGACCTGAATGGCGCCTGAATAAGGCCTGAATACCGTTGTAACACACAGAAATCCCATGCGCATGCATCGAAGTGTTTCGCGGGCCTCCCCGATATCTCACGCGCATAAGCGCTGCTGTGCGCATGCTATGTAGCCATAACCGTAGCGCGTTTGTTTGTGCGTGACGACGCGTTGCCAATGTTTGTTTAAGACATCGTCGACGGCGCCGAACTGAAACCCGACATTGCCATCGCGTTCGTCTTCGCCCACCACGCTCCGCGCGTGCCAACCGAATGGGGCTGACATGCTGGCCCAGTCACGGCGACCCACTACGAGAAGGGCATGGGCTTATTTGCCCACGCCGCACACATTCGCACCCATGTTCGCATGCCAGAGCCAGCGCGCCCTCAGCGCTGCTACGAGCGCTGTGTGAACAACCATCGTCCCGTCGCATCTTGGCAAAGAGCGGCATCACCAGTCACGCTGTTATAAGCGCCCAATGCAGCAACACATTTGCCCTCCACATGATGACCTCGCCACCCGATGGCCCATGACTGCAACCTGGTCACTGCTCAAGCCCCCCCCCCTCCTGTGACTCAGCATCGCCAATTGAAAAGGCAGCGTGCTGCTTAACCAACTATAGCTCTAACCAATAAAATGACGAGTGTGCGTGCTGGGGTGGCCGTTGGAGACTGGTTGGGGCGATGCGTGTGGGTGTGTGTTTTTGGGGGTCGCCAGCCATTGACGAACGCGAATGTATTCCTTCAGGAACACACGAACGTAATTCCCAAGTACAGAAATAGTGCAATCACAGCACCCTAGGCGAAGGTATCAATATTGAAACAACTTGCGCGGCCGTAACATTGCCATTTGTTCACCCCACGCGGCCACCCTCCCCCCCCCTTTCCAAAGGCAACAACTTAAGACTGCCGATACATGTTCCGCCCGTGCAACGAAGCTTCCTCCGTTGTTCGTTTAACATCATGAGTGCCAACATGCATACCTAACCATAACATCGTAAGTGTTTGGAGATTTCAGACGCTTGGCAAGTTGCCCGAATGCCCTCGTTGCCGTCTCAAGAACTGAACAAGCTCACTACTTGGAGGCAAAGTAGCATTGCATGTTGCACTTGTGCTAACGTTAATCATGTGACGGTCCCAAAGAGGGCCCCAATGGGCCCAGAAGGGGCCCCCAAGTGCCCCCCAAGAGGCCCCCAAAGAAACCCAAAGAGGCCATGCAATTAATTGGGTTCGCGAGGCCCCAACGAGACCCCAAAAGGCCCCTCCGACTAGTGCTGTGCCGATGTCCCACGCCCTCTCTTCATGCGTTGTAGCCATTTGGGCTCAGGTGTTCTCAGGTGAGGCACCGTTTTGCGATCATCAGCGTCCCCAGGCGCCGAGGACCTCGCAGGGCTACCGGGTGGGCCCGCCCAGCGGCGGGCAGCTCTTGGGATGTCCAGGTTGCTCCAGGGCGCCAAGAGCAGCACCAAGCGGGCAGGTGGTGGGAGCGCGGAGCCACCGTGGAAGAAAGCGAGCAA